TTAATTCAAATAATAATATATAAGATATTAATTTAAAATCTCAATAATAAACTCTCGCACGCTCATACATTTTTTGCTCTTATAATAAAAACATTATAGTTTAATATATCTTTTTAATATATAATTTATAATTTAATTAAAAATAATTATCCACAATTGACACACGACACTTTCAGAATTTTCATTAAAGTCAATTTGACAGATATTTTCATAATAAAATATGATTTTATTCTATAAAATTTTTTTTCATATATGCTATGAAATGAAATTTTATTGTTTATCTTAGATACATTTTGTTTAACGTACAAATTCATTTCAAATATTCATTTTTCAAAAACTAAAACTAATGAGATTTTTTTTTTTAATTTTAACTTAATTAAATTTGTTAAAACATAAAAAATTCCTTAAATACATAAAAACTTAAATGTATATTTTTTAAATTAATACTTTTTAATGGTAATTTAATTATTAATAATTATATAGATTTATAATTGTTTCTCATTAAATAACAAATTGTTAAATATTAAATATTTTAGCAAAAATTTCCAATTGGTAAAAAGTTTATTAAAATTTTTTAGAATATATTTAAATTTTGATAATTTGATCACAGCATTTAAAAACAAAAACATGACGGGTTAATTGAAAAACATTAATATGTAAAAGTTTATACATTAATATGTAGAAGAAACCACTTATACTTTATATATTAAGCTTAAAGCTCATTTATACTTCATTGCCAATAGAATTACATGGGCTATTGTTCAATGTTTGTGGGTATGAATTCGCAAGTATGAATGTGTATATGTAATTAAATTAATGAAGCCTTATATTTTTCAATATAAAGAAATTTATTATTTTTTCTTGCATTATAATTCGTTAAGTAATTCAAACACAAACGAAGAATAAGTCCACTTTATATAACGCGCATATTTTCTATATCTATTTTTAATAAAATTAATAATTTAATTTAAGTGAAGATATGTTTTAACGAAATATTTTGAAAAATATGTTTAATGATTCGATGTATGAATCTAACGAAACGAAAGCTTTTTTATGTAACACTTATTTTTAAGCTTTTAAATTAAGTTTAGAAGCTTAGTTTCGCATATGAGCTTTCGTAAATGCTTTCAAAAATATCTAATAAATTGTTAAGTTAAAAACATATAGTAGTGGGAAAAGTTCGTTGGCAAATAGGAATCTTGCCAAAATTAATAATTCGAATTTAGTTAAATAAGTATCTATTTGAATATAATTGATTCAATCATAAGTTCCTATGGTACATTGATTTGAATAAATAACAAATTTTATATTACGACAATAGCATTCTTTATCATTTAATTAGGATATATTTATGTGTACAGGGTTATCAAAATGTCGTTTCAGAAATGTTTTGTTAAATTTCTTAAATGTTTAAATACTGTGTAAACTTAAATGCTTATACTGTGTTTTTTTAATATTGAAACTGGATTGTGTTCTAGAAATGTTTAAGCACAAAGGCGTTTTATTCACCTATTGTTGCTGCTGGCCTCTTCATTGCTACACTGTTAACTGTATTTCTATTATATTATTGTTCTTTTATGTACTTCGTAATAATTTTAAGAAGAGTTAGGGCTAGTGTTTTTTTGGAACAAAAGAAGCAACAATGCAAATGCAAAAACTATGTGTAAAATAGTGTTATATATTATATGTTATATATAATTTTGTATTAGGAGATGGCGATCAGTATTTGCTCGTACGAAAAAATGAATATTCTGGAATATTCCGTACTTGAATATATCAATATTTACACATTTTTTCATGATTATATCAGCCGACAGTTAACAGTTGGTAATGTAGCGTAATTGAAAAAAATTCGCTACTTTATCGCCTTAAGAAAAGACTGACATAATCCCGGCTGCTACTGATATATTTAGTATCTAAATTATAATGGCATTCACACAACATTTCTACTGTTTATAATCGCAATGAGCAGTTTAAGAGAGTGACAATAATAAATCGCATAATTTTATTAGAATAATGTGGTAAAAAATTTTGAAATTGCTACCTAATCGCGAAGTAACATGAAGTTAAAAAAATAATGAAAATCAGTTTCTAACATCTAAATTTAAAAATTAATTGGTTCACCAAATAGACACCAGCTAAAATCAATTCGTACCAGGTTTTGAAGAAAAAATAACACATCTACAAAAAACATGAAATAAAATTTGAAATATATGATTTAGAAATAATAGTGATTTAAAATTCTAGACATTTAAATAACCCTATACATGTTATATTAAGAAATACTTTATAAGGCAAACTTGAAGATATATAACATAACTTTAGTTTATGCATAAAATGTATTCGAAATTTATTTACGTGTGTAAGTGTTGTTACTTTCATATAAAACAATTTGGTGCGTATTAAGTATGTGTGTTTATATTAAATAATATAAAATAAAATTGCAATAAAACAATAATGGGATCGGAAATCATAATTAAAAAAAGCACAAAAAAATTTTTTTAATTTTATTTTGTATTTCTTGAAAAATAATTTTTATTTAATAAAAATTTAGTACTCACTTGAAGGTTGAGTATTTTAAACTGGCACACATACAAACACAATTGACATCTGTAAATTTGGTGCAGCCTAGCCGCTGCAGTTAAGTTTTTTTTAAATTTGGTGAATTTGCCGATTTAAGCTAAAATCTCAAAATAATTTAAGCCAAAAAAAAGCCAACGCTTACACCCGTAAATAAAAAGACATACATTTTAAGTTTAATTCCATTCTTAGAGAACTTTTATCATTGATGCATTTGGAACACACAAAAGAGACATGCTCCAAAGCAAACTTTATTTATTTAAACCTTTTTGTTGTTGTTTTTGTTTTAAATAATAGTTTAAAGAGAATTTACAGTTTTGTTTTTGTTGTTGTTACAATTGGAATTATTAAAATTATATGAAAGATTTTATAGTATAGAATTTTTACAATTATAACAAAAATTAATTGAAAGATTTGATTGCCAGAAAAAAACTTAAAAATAAAATAAAATTTAAATGTAATTATTTCAATTTGTTTTTTTTTTGTTTGTTGTTTTTTTTTGAATTAATATTTTTTAAATTAAAATTATTGGTTTTCAAGTATGTATCATTATATATATTTTTTTGAAAAGTTTTTTATTTCATTTTATAGGCTTATTATTTTAAAAACGTATATGTTCAAAAAAAAAATTAAATTTATTTCTATTTTTTTAATTAAACAAATATAATGATGAGCGCCTATACTTATTACTTTCTTCTTATAACATTGGGTGTATATTTTCTCAATTTATGCATCATAATTATTAATTAATATTTAGTATTAAGCTGCACAATTTGTGTAATTTCATAACAAATTTAAAATTTTTTTTTGTAAATTAATTTTTTAAATTTTTACCAAGTTAAACTTAAATTTTATTGCTATAATTATTTAGTTTTAAACTTGTAAATTATATATTTATTGTATAAAAGAAATTAGTAGTTTTAATAACTTTAAACTTAAATGAATTTTTGAAATATTCTTTGTAAATGTTTTATTTAAAACAGAAAAACAATAAAATTTAAATAAATAATATAAAAATAATACAACTAAAATTGTAAAAAAATGTGTATAAACGTTGAAGATCACCAAGTAGCACTAAATGTGCTCTTTAACTTTTCAGTTGAAGTATTTGTATTTGAAATAAAAATCTAAAAAAAGTAGCTAAAAAGTTAAATTTTTGTTTGTTGTTAGAAATCAAATTAATATAAACATTAAATTTGAATTTAGTTATAAATATGTTAAGCATTTACAAAGAAAGCACAAAATGCTAATTACAACTAAAGAAAATTACATTTAAAATTTTGTATCACAACAATAAATTTAACTTTAGCTAAAACGGCAAGCACTATTAAATACTTGCAAATTATTTCGATATAAATATATATCAAAATATATCAAAAAAGCCGAAAATAAATTTATTTTATTTAAAAAAAAAAAATTTTAATTCGGCTGGTTTTATTTTTAATTATTTCATTTAACAATGATATAATAAGTAAAGAAGTTTTTGAAGTGCATATAAGGAATTTAAATTTACTTGAAAAATACACTGATCACTAAAACAAAAATTTAATCTATGATTTTTTTTCCATTTCCTTAAATACACGCACTGTACTTGTTTACAATTGAGTCTTTTAACAAATATAATTTTAAAAAATAAAAACAATATATTGAAAGGTTTCTCTTGCTTTAATTTTTTAATCGAATTTTTTATAATTTTGAAAGAAATATATAAACATATTTTAATACAAAGAAATCATTAATAAATATTATAATAATTTTACAATTTCTTACAGAAAGTATAAAGCAACATAGATGTATTGAGTTTTGTGTTTAATGTTTGTTTTATATAAGATATGAATAGTAATATGCATATTTTTAAACTCAGACAAAAGTAAATGAATTTGAAAACATTGAATATTTTTAGTTATTGTAATTTAATATTTTGTTAAATATTATTGTTACAAGTTTATTTTTTGAACATTTAAAATCATAAACTACACAAATACTACACGAAATTACGAATTTGAAAGATTTTTAATATATATAAATTTTTTAAGTTTGCTATAGTAAAGTTGAAGTTACAAATTTATATATTTATGGATTTTTTTTAATTATATAATTTTTTTTTTTACTATTTTCATATAAAATTTTTTGTACTTTTTTTTAAAGAATCTTTTATATTTTTAATTTTATTTCTAATACTTTTTCAATTCAAAATTAATCAAAATTTTTACTACAGTTTAGTTTATTTATTTTGGAATAGAGATGTATTAATTTTTAAACTGTATTTTGAAACTTTGTATTAAATTAATTTTTTTTTTTTAATTAATAATTAAGCTTTGTTTATTGTAACAAAAAATAAAAAAAACAAACATTGAAACACGAAACTATTATTTAAGATAAATTTTGTATACAAATTTTAATTTTTGGTTTTTTTTTTGTTTTTAATTAAATTATTTAATTTTTTTACTGAGCGAACCTTAAACTGCACTCTTTGCAGCACACGCTCTCCTGGTAAACATGCCAAAATTTATATTTTGGTATATGGTTGTTCTAGTTATTAAGAAGATTTTTAAGACTTAAAATGGTCCAGAACAACATCAATCCTTTTTATGATGGTCCGCAGCATTTTTTTTCTTAAAAATTTTTTTAATTTTTTTGTTTTTTTTTTTCTTTTTTTGGTTTTTAGTAATTTTTGTTTTTCTTAAAGCATAAGTTCTCATTTTGATATGAAAACTTAACGCACTTTTCGAACTTATTTTTAACACAATTATTTTTTTCTTTTTTCTGTTATTTAAAGTAATTTATAATTGTTTCTGTTTAATTATGATGCATAACAAAATATACACACTTCGCGCGCGCAGAGTATATTAAAATAAAAAATTTTCTATTTTTCTTCTTTTAAAATTTGCTCTTTCTGAAGGATATGTTTTTCATAATTGTTGTTTGTTTATTTGTTTGTTGTTGTTGGTCATGATTAATCTGCTGCTTTTTTAGTACTGAATTTTCTTTCTTTTGATCAGTTTAAAGCTACTACTTTTTCTGATTGCACTTTTTCTTTATTGTACTCACATCACATTACGAGATATAATCTTACTTTTCGATGTCCGATTTATAGAAAATCAGCTTATTGTACAATCCTCTCTCCTTGTTGTTGACTTACAATTGAATTCAGCAGTACATATCACATTGATGGTTAATAGTTTATATTTTAAACTATTTTAAAAGTATATCCTGTTGTATATATTGTATATAAATATTGGCGCTACTAACACTGTTCAAAAATTGGAATTATTGGTGAAGTTGGCCAGTCCTCCTCTTCTTCCGAACTAATGCTCTCAGTTCTGAAACATTAAAAAATACATTAATTTATATATTTGAAGAGAAAAAAATAAACAAAGTAGTATGGAAAAGATTGGTAGGTAGGTATACAGATCTGTGCTAATTATAAATATTTTGGGAGAGATTTTGATTTCCCGAAAATGCCGATTTTCCTTTGTTTATTACATCTGCCTTTATTCTAGTCAGTTAAAGCTTTTTCATATTCTTAGTTTGTTTGTGTTCGAACATTGCGATCTCTGAGCAGATCAATTATACTCGATTTGAAAGAATTTAAACTTTAAAAAATAACTTTTTTGCACAAGTCGAAGAGCAGATTTACTTTAGCTTTCATTCTTCTTTAATTTTGTTTCATCTAAATGCACGAGATCATGTCAAATCGGATTGACAACGAGACATCAATTTATTAACATTAGCTATTTTGAGAAACTTTTTCCAATACGCTATATGTCTATATAGCTTAATTTTTCAGATGTTAAATTTTAATATCGAATTTTCTACTTTAAGTTGAATTTTCAACTTTAAAATCGAATATCACGTTGACTATACTTTAACATATAATGTAGGTTCATAAATTATTCAAAATAACTGTCTTTACTGAAATCCGTTGCCAAAGGAAAATCCCGGGAAATCAAAATCTTGCTATTTTCTAAATAATCGTGTGTGTTTTATATTTAAGATTACAACAAATATAAAAAATTATTTAAATATATACGATTTTTATATATATCATACATGTAAAATATATAATAAAATAGATTTTAAAGATTATATATAATACATATTTTGCATATGTCATATTAGGAGTAAAAATAATATATATATATAAAGTAAACAAAAAAAGGTAATAAATATTTTAAATTTAGGCAATAAATATATAGTAAATTTTAATTTTAGTGTGGTTGTAGCCTTAGCAATTTGGAATGACTGGTGTAATTGCCAATAAGTTGAGCGTATACTCACACAAATGCTACTCACACCTGCCATAAAAAAGGTCACCTATCTAGACATGACAGTTGACCTGATAACATATAATTTGCACCGACCTAACTAATTGAAAGTATAGTTGCAATGAATCTCTTATGGTAATATAGTTCAAGATATAAACTATACGTGAGTCTAATGAATACATTCAGTGCAAATTTATGAATGAAAAAATCTTATCTCTATTCCTCTAAATGCATTATAAAATGAAAACAAATTATTCTGCATTACACTGAAATGATGAATGTATTTCAACTTAATTAAAAAGAATTAAAATCTTAGTGAATCGTATTTCAAAGAAAAGGGGGCGCGTGATAATTTTGTTATTTAAGATCAATGAACTTTATATATTTCGACAAAAAAATTCTAATCATATTTGTTTTTCTAGAAAGTGTCAGCAACGTCAAAACACAATCGCGCCTCATACATTGAAGAAATTGCTGTATATATTGTAAGCGAATATAATTAGAAATTTAATTTCTTATTTCGATAAGATAGTGAAAGTGAAATTAAGAAATTGTTTTATTTTACTAAAGAAAAGAAAAAGTTTTTCATTGACATTGAAATAACAAAGCAATATAAAAACCATGTCTTTGCAAATTATTTTTTCAGGCATAAAACAAAGTTAAAAATAAAAATATTTTTTTAAACAAATTTTATATTCTAAAAGAATGAAAAACAATTTTTATACAAACATCATATATTTCAATAAGTATATAAACTAATGAGATTGTGTTTTGACGATAAGTGACGTTAGCGATAAAAAATTTAGTGCTTAATGCGCATATGATTAAGAGACTTGTTTACGCCAATACCTATCAAAACAAAAAAATATATAATATACACAGAAAAAATATTTCAAATCTTAATGAATGTTTACATAATTATATTTAGGCATATGGTAACTTAATTGCATAATAATTAGAATAATTTTTGTTTTAAATATCGAAATCTTTTAAACTTATTAATAAAAATTACTCTAAGTAATTGTTATAAATATGTATTTAGTTCCACTCTATATATATACAATATTATTTGTTTAATTTAATTCTATCCAATCTTTTTTATATTTTTGTTATTTGTACACTTACCTCGATCGGCAGCTATCGTCAATTGCGTTCGATATGCCCTCTTCAATTGTGGGTAAATCAGACGAAAAACGATTAGTTGGGCGCAGAACACGCAAAGTACGACTCGACAGCTTCCATACCAAACGCTGCTTATAAGGCTGTTTATTCTGGCCATTGTAGTGCGATAAAATGCCAGAGACAATGCTAAAACCGCAGGTAAACACTCGATCGGGTATCTAAAATAAAAATTAAATTATTTTTATAAATTTTATATTACACATAAATATAATACTTATATAATATATATACCTATATAATATATATACTTATATAATATATATACTTATATAATATATATACTTATATAATATATATACTTATATAATATATATACTTATATAATATATATACTTATATAATATATATACTTACACGCATAAATTGTTGCAAATAGAGAATATATTCGAAGACATGCTTCAGTTCTGGGCTGCCGCGTGTGTATGACTCCTTGATATGGAAATCCAAGTGCAGACAAATCAAAACTAATGCCAAAGTTGATGGTGATATAACAGTGGTTTTAACATCACACAACAGAATTTCCAAACGATTCTCTAATTCTTCAAGTTTTATGTAATTTTGATAGAACTCAAAGAATGGACCCTCGATGTCTTTAGCCAAATTACGGAATAAGGCATAGTAAATGCGTAGGTAGCTGACCGATGTAATAGGTGTTGTACCCATTTGTACGCCCAACTTATTGGCAATAACACCAGTCATTCTTTCCAAATCGCCAGCGGTACAACCACACTAAAATAAAAATTTATTAAATACTATATGTTAAATTATAAAGCTTAAATTTTAATTTATTAATCTTCTTTTCTTTATTTATATAAATATTATTTTTATAATTAATGTAATTTATAACATTAAAACATTAAATATAATTTTAAATATATAATATTTTACACATATAATTCTTATTTTATATATATTTTATTATTTATTTTACATATTATAGACTACATATTATGTTATTATAGTTATGTTTCATTTATTCTATTTTAATAATTTACTATTTTTATTATTTCATTTTTGCGTTTAAAATTTATTAATGATTCCAGAAGAAACATTTACGGTTTTGAGATCTAATACATTGCCATTATACATTTTCAATTTATTTTTATATTTACATATATTTTATTTTAATATTGAAATAATAAAATTCGTTTAGATTTTAAAAATTATATTATATTATTACGTTTTATATTTCATTGTTATATTAAAATATTTCGTAATAAAATTATATTCTTATTACTTTCATAAATTATATCAAAATTTTAAGACTATATTTTATATTTCACTATTAAATTTTATTTCTTTATACGTTTGAAAATTTGTTTTTTATTTATACATTTAATTATTTATTATTTATATATTTAAATTTATATAAATATTCATTTTTTTATTTATATATATACATATTAATTAATTTATTTTACTTATATTTTATATTTATTTCATTATTTAAATATTTTCTATATGTTAATTTAAATTAACATATTTTATTATTTATATGTATATTTTATTTACCTGAGATATTGTAACCAGATCGTCCGCGGGTATTGGTTTAAGCTCCAATTGCTTAATGGCCAAATGGAATGATGCTATACTCATGCATGCCATATGCTTCGGCTTGACAGTCATACGATCCAAAAAGCGATCTACTAAGCTCATGGCAGAGAATAACACATCGGAGGGCAGCTCATACCACATTTTAAGACAACGTAAAACATACGCCGAGCCGTCACGTCCACCGGCTGTCACTTCACGCTACATAATATATATATATATTATTTTCCTATTCATTTATCTTATATATAATTATTAACTTACTCTTGACTCCTTTGGTAATAACAGAACAGTGTGGTATTTATCTTGTAATGCATCATACTCTTTCAACAAATTATAAAGTTCATCAGATGTTAGTGCGTTAAGTTTATTTTCAACATCCTTGCTGTTGTTATTCATAGTACTCTCATTGTCCAATAACGAAGGCTCCATTGGGTGGTCATTGTTGTTCACAGGTGTTTGTTGTTGTTGTTGTTCCAGCTCATATTTTTGATATTCTAAGCCAGCAGCACCCGGTGTTCCATACCGGCCCTCGTCAGACATCCTCATCCACTCAGTTCGCATCTCTGCATTATCAGTACTGCCATTAATAGCCGCTGCCTCCACCGACACTGCCATTGCTGATGTCGTAGGTTTCATGTCATCCTCCAACATATTCATCATATGTGAGGATGATTGTTGTGATGATGATAATGATGGTATTGTTTTTATTGATGTCGAAGATGATTGATCCATAATATTGTTGATGTTGGTGGTATTAATGACAGTGTTCGGTATATTGGTGGGCAATGCTATTGCTGGCGAAACCGACGACGACATCGATGACCGCTGCTGCATCAACTGCTGCTGCACTTCCAAATCGTTAAAGTTGTAGCTATTGCTGTTGTTGTTGTTGCTATTATACAAATTACAAAACAGCTGTTGCTGCTGTTGTAGGTGGTATTGCTCTTCTTGTTGTAGAGTATTTATCAAACCACTATCAACGACGGCGTAATTGGCGGCAGCAGAGTAGCGTACAGGGACAGACATTGTGAGGGCTGGCCTAGTACCTATATTATGCAAAAATTTGTTTTCGGTGGTTTAGGATTAGGATTTAAAAGATTTTTTTTTAATATTTTGTATTTTGTATTTTGTTTTTGAAAATTTCGCTTTTTGTACTTGTAAGGATGATGTAGATGTAGAGATAAAAGAAAGGTATTAGGCACAAATTTTGTTTGATTTTATTTTCAGCAAGATTTTAAAATAATAAATTGCAAAAAATATTCAAGCTTTTAAATTCGATATCAATGAGAAATTAAAACAAATTTTATTATTTTAAATTCTCTCAATCTTTGCTTATAATTTTTTAGGTGCAATTTTTTTTTTTTTTTTGGTTTGAATTTTATTCAAAGAAACTAAATTGTGCTTTAAAACTATGATTATTTTAGTTACACTTGCAATATTCCCAATATATGCAAGGTGCTCAACCTAGTTATTCTTTTTATTTAATTTACCGAAAATAAAATTTATTGTTTGCTACTTGTGTTGTACACACTGGTCGCTGAAAAGAATTAAGTTTAACACAAAACCCTTGTTAACTTCAGAAACCTTCGTACTATTCTTTTTTCTTGGCAGAAAAAAAACAATTTGCAAACAACAAACAAACCCTCAACTTAAAAGATATTTTTCCAAGATTACTGCTCAGTGTACGCAAATAAAAGTCCTTTGTCCCTTTATTATGCTATACGCTCGCTTATCCAAAATTACACTTCAAAAAGATACAATTACTTGGTTTATTATGTGAGCTCTTAGCTTTTTACGATAATAAACACTTGCGTCTTTTTTACAATGTAAATATATAGAATTTATACCAAAAGCAATAAAATTTCAGTTTCCAGTTGAATTGTAAACTTGATTTATTTTTATATAATATTCATATATATTATATTTTTATGATAATTATAATAAAACAACACTTGCAATGCAATATTTGTTGTTTTTTATTTACTATGTATAGCAGTTTACACAACGAGAAATGCTTTTGTTTAATATTTCGCTATTTTTTTAATCAAAGTTTTTAAAAGTCCAGATAAAATTGCTATAAACTTACAGTTCTGTGAAAAATTAAAAATTAATTAATATATGTATAAAAAAATATATAATTAATGAATTTAATGTATATAAATAAATTATTTTATTTTTTTTTATTGGTGCTGCAGTGAATTATTTAAACAAAGAAATGATAAAATTAATTAAAGGTAGTTAATCTTTACACTTTAAAGATTATTTATGAGTCAGTCAGAGGTGATAAACTTAAATTTTTTTTGTTATATTTTGAAATATAAATAAATATTTTAATACATATATACATATGATGAGCTGTTTGCATATAAATTTATATTTAAACATTAAATATTTATTTGAATGCATATAATTTAAATAATTCAACTTGAAGCCAATTAAACTGTTAGAAATTTATTAATATTAACTATAATGTCTATATTGGAATGTAAAATTAGCATGAAAATTTTAATAACTATATTATATATAAAGAAATATATATGATTAATTTAGTAAAGAAATAATAAAAAAAGTTTTTCAATAATAACAATAACAATATAATAAGTTAATATAGGTATAAATATAGTACGTAAAATAATGAAAAAAAAAAATAGCTATAAACAAAATGTAATTAATATACAGTGCTAAATTATTTTTTGATAACAATAATATCTATATTATATTTCTAAATATTTTATTAAAATAAACAAAAAATGACAAAAATGTTTCTTGCTGTGAATTGAACGAATTGAATTAAATTTCCAAATTTGCAGCTGCCAAAATTTTAATAAAGAATGTGAAGTGCGATATAGTTTTGAGAAAAAAAAGAATATAAAAATGATTAATATTATAATAAACTGATATTGGCCTTAAAAATTAGATTTCTCACTAGAACATAGAGTTCATGACCTGTGCAGAACATATTAAAAGGAATAAGAAATCAAAACGATCTCAGTTAATTTAATTGAACTTTCGTAATTGGAGAACCTCAACCAAACTGTGTAATGTGTAATAACCTCAATGAGTTGCAGTTAGTGGCTTTATTTTGCGCGGGGCATTACCTTTAAAAACAATTCAAAAACTAAAAACCACATATTATGATAAAACTTTATTACAGTGTATATATGTTATAAATACAAAGCAGTTGGAGCTACAAGGATTGCAAAAAAAAACAGTGAATAATGAAACCTACGATTTATAGATAAACTAGAACACAAGCTTTTAAGGCAATTTTCATAACAAATCTAAGAAAAATCTGAAAGAATAAAATTGAGCATTTTATAAGAATGCCCAGTTTTGTTTCAGATAGAAGAACCAATAGTGCTGATGACCCTTCCAAAATGTTTTTTTAAAGCTCACATATTTTACAAATTTTTCCAATCTTTTAAGAATAGTACGTGATTTAACTTTAATTGCGTAAATTAAAAAATAATACAATTAAAATAAAATTAAGTATGAATTTTACTTGCAACAATTTGCAGTAAAATTCATAAATAAGAAAGAATATATAAAATATAATTGAATTTATTTACAGATATATAAAATTGCATAACTGCACATGTAAGTAATAACAGCACAAAACTATTTTATCTGTTAAATTATGAATATAAAAAATATTTCTATACTTTACAACTGCACAGGCAGTAAAATAAATACGCTTCAAATCTCGTAAAGTGTGGAAAAGCGTAGATACTTTTATATTCCAAGCATATAGATGCATATATGCAATTTAAAGCTATTACAATTGAAAGTCATAAATGGGTGAAATGACGCGTTTAGTTTTAATTTAAAGAGAAATAAAAATATTTCATTGTTCAAATCTGCTTTCTACTATTCTATTCAGTTTGTAAAATTATATCAATTTTGTTGAACCACCCTAAAATAAAAATTCTCCTAACGTGACTGACTGACTATATGTCGCAATAGACTTAAATTGGAAAATGCAAATGTTGAGAGGTTTAGTTTAATTTACTTTGTAGTTTTGACTTTGAAAAAAAAGAAAATAATAATTATTATAATATACATTTTATATTATTTTTAATTATTTCCAGAAGTCATTTACTTTTTATAATTTTAAATTACAATTAAAAAAATAATGAGAATAGAATTAGTTATGCTTTTCTTAATATGTATGAATCACACTGCGAACTACGATATTTAATTTAAAATTTAATTTTATAACAATTAGATAATAGCTAAGTTGAGAAAATATATTTATAATATACTTAATTATATATTATTTATAATTTATATGAAACAATCGAAAACACACTTCTACATATTTTTGTGATCAAAACTGTATGAAATGAGAAATCTTGAACGAAGCTCTTGGCTTAATTCGACAAACAGTATAAAATTATCATAATCAAGTAAATTTTTAAGCTGACAAAGTTTTTTCAGATATCTCCATTATTGGACATTCATCATTGAGAACCATCTACTGTTTTTATGTTTGAAAATCTTCATTGTATAATGGTTCTTTTGATTCTTTCATAGAAAGTGATTACCGGAAAGTCAATTTCTTTAATTCTTCTTCTTCTGTCATCCTCATCTCCCAATGGAGCAGAGGGCCTTTACAACTATTTAGAATTTATATATAATCTATAATCAATTTCTCTTATTGCACCAAAATTTTGTTATTGATAAACACTAGTTGATGTTCAATGGTTGCATTCCATATTTTACATATATTACAATACTACTTTATCAATCAATACTTTAATTTTAAGATAGTTATACGGAAGTATAATATACTGAATATATATATAATGAATATGTAATGCATAAATGAAATAATAATACTTGGTTAAAACAAAAAAAAAAGAAAATACTAAATAATGCAAAACAAAAAAATAGACATTTGAAATTTTGCCCGTCATTTACACAGATTCCCAAGCAACGCATTAAGCAAATAGCATAAGCGCTACGCATTAAGAGCTCACAACAGTGCTAAGTGCGTATCGAGTGTATGCGAGTGGTCTAGTGGTCTATAGTCTATTTGGGTCGCGACAGACGCATTTTTAGCTTCTTCATTTAAAGTTTTTTGTATAGTTTTTATATGCAATGAATTTGAATTTTTTCATTTTTTTAGTTCAATACAATTTTATTTTTTCAATTAATTTTTTTTTTCTTTTTTTCGTTTAGATAGACGCATTTTATAACTGTGGAAATTCAATAACAACAGCATAAAATGGAAAATTGATGTACATTTGGAATATGCTTAGAGTTAGTAGTTTATGTATATATTTTACAATAATAAAAACAATTTAAAAACAACTAACAAATTATACGTACGAGTACGAGTATCTTAAAAATGAAAATATGTTGAAAGCAATTTGAAATACTCGTTTTGCTGTTATTTGATTGTGCAATGTAAATAAAAGCACGTAAGGCTTGCAATGAACAGCAGTGGTTATGGAGCTGTATGATTACGCAGGGTAATGCTGAAGTGTGAAAAAAGTAATATAGAAATTACTCAAAGTATCTATCAGTACGCTTTTCAGCTTTACGATGGTGCATACTCAATAGACAGACGTGCTACTTATAGTTTTACAGTATACACAACAAAAAAAATTTAAATTTGTATAAACAAATTTTGTGTAAATGAACTGAGGGTTTTTCATTAAAAAAGCACACAAAAGTTAATTGATTTATTGAGGAAGAAATCAGAAGAAAGCATTATACAGATATGCTCTTAAAAAATAAAAAAAAACAATGAATTACTTTTAAGTTGATTGCGACTTATTTTATATTGATTTTGTATGAGTACCGCGGAGATAATATTGCATATAGCTTTATTGTTAATACAAATTATTTAAAATAAATATATATACAGTGTTGTGCATAACAAAAGCAACCAAAATTTGCCCATCAAATAAATAAGATTTTTGTCTACTTTTTACTTTTCATTCAAAAACTTAAATACAGAGTTTTATTTGTTATTGTATTAGCTATTATAAAAAAACAACAAAATCTACAATTCTTCATAACGGGTTAAATAATTCACAAA